AAAAATGAACTTTGTATTTATACAAATTGAATACTGATATTTCTCTATTAGAAGCGCAATTCCAATTGAATGCACATGAAACCAAAATGGCATTGGTGTATACGTGACTATTTCAATATTAATTTTACCATAGAATTAAACACAGCTGTAATTTACATGCACAACACATGCGCAACAATATAGAAAATACCAGGGTACCCGGTAATAATGTTGAGAAAAATATGTGACTCATAATTTTCATGACCACAAAAAAAAAACTAACCAGCAGATATTTTATTCCCTGCAACTTGTACCGCCTTATCAAAAAACAATTGTAAATACACATACAGTGAATTTATATATCAAAAACCAATTGTAAATACACATACAGTGAATTTATATATCAAAACTTTTTTTTTAAAAGAACGGGTGAGGGTTTTATTTAATATCTATAATTTTGAGTTAAAGCAGTTTTGGAAAAAGGTCAGGTGTGAATAAGTAATGCTGATAAGGCAAAACATGAAACCTAAGTATTGGCAACAAACAAAGATTCAGTGACTCTAAAAAAAACCATGTGCAATACATATTTACTGAAAAATTATATCAACACTGAATCCATGTATATTGCATTAGTGGGGTATTTAATAGGCAAATTCCTGTTAATAAAAGTTGCTTTTATAACAATTCTTCCTTTCTCAAGATTTGATTTGTTTGAATAAGATTTTTAAAGCTTTTCAACAAAATAGAATAGCCAATACTGAGATAATTGTTTTTTTTTTTTTGTTTTTTTTTAAATATTTTTTTTGTGCCAGGCGACAGTTCCAGACATTAAGTGTCACTGTTGTCTCTCCTGATTTTTTTTCTGTATGTGCAAATTGCAAGTGCTAGTCACGACACATAGTGCATTTTGCCACAGAAGTCATATTCATGTTTGGGACTACATGACAGGGCTGTGTGGGCTGACTATATATGCTCATTTCAAACAAAATCATGTCACTAAAATATTATGGTAGTACTGCCCATGGATAAACAAATTGCTGGCTGGTGGTCCACTACAAACAGCAAGCATTTTCATGTCCTTCTACTTATGTGGCATTATTGCCCACCTGGGACCAGTCATTCAACTAATTTACATACGATATCCCACAGTTGTGGAACTTACAGTAAGCTTATTTATTTTCTGACCTATAACCTTGCGACCTGACTGATGAGTTAGATAACACGTCAATAAAACAACTTAACCACTGTGTTGTCAACACCAAGTAGAATGGAAGGATTGTTTTTTTTATATTCGAAGTTCTAAAAAAATCCTTAAGATTGAAACACCTAAGGATGAGTATGCGTTTGAATATCGTGTACTGGTAATAAGCAATGTATTTTACATGTGTCGTATAAGTCATCGCATGGGATCCACAATTCGACAAATACATCTTCAAACAAGCAGCCTCTCGGCTGAGATAGCTCTGCTGTTAGCAAGGCACCTTTCAATTAAAGAACTGAAGATATCATTAGAAAATGAACAATATGTATAACAATCGGACTTGCTGTTTTCAACAAGAATTCAAAAATTATCACTTTTTACCAAAAATGACATAAATATTCATCAAAATTAGATAATTGAAGATATCATCACGAAATGAACAAATCTGAGAAAGGTCCACATGTAGTACCTATATATGTAATATCAAAGCAATCGGACTTGCGATTTTTAACAAGAAGTCAAAAATATCACTTTTTACCAAAAATGACAAAAATATTCACCAAAATTAGAGAATTTAAGATATCATCACAAAATGAACAAATCTGAGAAAGGTCCACATGTAGCATCTATATATGTAATATCAAAGCAATTGGACTTGCAGTTTTTAACAAGAAGTCAAAAATATCAATTTTTACCAAAAATTACAAAAATATTCACCAAAATTAGAGAATTGAAGATATCATCACGAAATGAACAAATCTGAGAAAGGTCCACATGTAGCATCTATATATGTAGTATCAAAGCAATTGCACTTGCGGTTTTTAACAAGAAGTCAAAAATATCACTTTACAAAAAATTACAAAAATATTTACCAAAATTAGAGAATTGAAGATATCACCATGAAATGAACAAATCTAAAAGAGATCTACCCCAGGTACATACACACCAAGTATCAAAGCATTCAGGCTTGTAGTTTTCAAGAAGAAGTCGAAAAAGTAAAACATTGACATGGACGCCGACGGACGACAGACGCCAACGGACAATCACTCATATGATAAGCTCCGCTCGACAAAGTTGACAGCGGAGCTAAAAAAGATTTAGAAATAACAATTATAACCTCTAGTACTAAGTATAAACCTTTCGTATTCGCAATAGTTCATAATACAATAACTAGCAGGCATTCATGACTAAAATTTTATCACTGCTTAGAAATCCCAGCAAAATTTTAACTAAATTTGTCTCTTGCGAAATAAAATTAAAAGTGGATTATGTTATATTTAATGTATATACAGGCATGAAATTAAGGTTGTAAATTGCAGAAGAACTAAAGGCTTGCTGAAGTTCCATAAGCAGCCCATGGGTTGCCTCAGGTAGCACGCTGTCAAAAATGCTCAACTTGGAATGAATTCACTTCATCAATCAATCAATCCATTATTTGACTTTCATATGAACTCTCGGTTGCCACATAGTACATGTAGTTGCTTGTATTGACTGTTTCAAGTGGTCTCAAAAACACATTCATTATACAAATTGTATAGAATCCATCTTTGAATGGCAGCTTTGGGTTGGTCAGATTGATATAAAGTTTGATTATTTCAATGCTGTAAAATTATAGATACATGTAGGAAGTCAAATGTAGCAATCAGGTACTCGTACATGTCAAATAACTGGTAGGTAGGTAAAATGGAATCATTCCAAATCCAAAATGTCTGTCTGGTGAAAACAATCTCTTAAAATACAGCAACAAACTAACACTAACAGAGAGTTGTAGGCAGAACTTGGCAGTGTGTATACGTCATACTTGCCCACAGGGGTCACCGGGTGGGTATCGACAAATAAAAAATGTCAGTCCCCAGAGAGAGAATAACAGTTTAGAAGATTTCCCATAACTAGGAATATGAAGATAGACTAATTATGATAATTGACTTATTAATATTCTGATTAAGCTGCAAATGATGGATTATTCTTATACATCTAGGGAGGGGGGGGGGTAATCATAACAGATTTTATGCTACATGAGACAGTGGAGGTCTGTACAAAGAACAATAGCGCAACTTAACTAAGCATTGACCGCGCATAGTGCACCAAACACCACTTAACTTTAAACTGAGCTGGCACTTGAGATAGGCGTCCATTCAAATCAAGCCAGTCATCTTGTAATACGCATTGTGGATGACGGCTGTCAAATGAGAATACTGACAAATAAGGGTGTGTTAATACAATGGTTCAAAGTCAACAGTCAAATGTTCAGGTAGACTTCTGGTGACTCGCAATTTCAATAGAGTGACAAACAATGTCAGTCCTCCTTAGTGCAGGGACACAGACAAACTTTCATAGTAGGTTATGATGACTACAGTGAATTCATCAGGTTGTCTGAAATCTGTTGAACAAACAATATAGTCACTCCCACTTAAACACTGGTTGTAGGCACTCTCCAGTGTAGTCTCTAAGCTGATACGATGCACCACTGTTGCAAAAATATTTGCTGCGATGCAACTAGTAATGCTAGTTCACTGGCACAACATTAATGCAATGGAAAAAAGTACACTGATATTGTGATCTAGAAAAACATTACTATAGTTATGGAATTTGTAATTTGTGTACCTCAAGTCACATAGTCACGTACAACGCAATCTTTTTCTTGATGACCAACTTCCTGAGCAGTCAACATCTGACCTGATTTCGAAGGATTTTAACTTAAGAACCTTTAAAAATTAGTTCTGCATACTGATACTTTTCCACTCAAATGTAATTTGAGGTAGAATGTTACACGAAAGTAAAAATATTGTCCTTTTCAAAACTTTTATTATTTCATGTCACAAGGATAAAGAAAATGAAATAGAAATATGGGGTCATCGTACTATGATTTTCTGAGAAAATTGATCTACAAAATACAGTAAAAATAGCATGTTTTGTCAGTGTAAAGGTATTTTAACATAGTTTCCTATTGAATATATATATTTCAATATCTCAAAATTTTGCTTGATGTCATACGGTGAAAAAAAAGTATACCGGGGTTAGTTT